CCCCCCCCCCAGATCTCTCACCTACACTTCCAGCTTTCTACTTGGCTGGTAGAGGAGACTGGAATCTTCCTCAGCTGGCTATAAGAGCCCGAGGAGCAGAGCTGGGTGGGGTGTCTGCTGCCTGGAAGTTCAGGCCTGGGTGGTGGCGGGGGCTGGCTGCAGGGGGCTGGCTGCCCTCCTTGGTGATGATGATGGAATGCTGGGTGGAGGAGGAGGAGGAGGAAGCATGTCTGCCCTCCCTGGCCTGGACCTTGGGAAGGTAATGGACCACAGCGTCGAGCAGCCGGCCCCGGAAGCTCGGGCTGAGAAAGTTGTACAGGATGGGGTTGACGACGCAGTGGAGCATGGAGAAGCAGTCAATGATGTCATAGAAGAAGTACAGCAGGTGCGCCAGGTAGCAGTGGAGGGAGATGTGGGTCCCGTGCAGCGTGATCAGCAGCAGGGTCACGTGGTAGGGCAGCCAGCAGGTGACAAAGACGGCAATGTAGGCACACACCAGCAGGCAGTGGCGCCGGCCCTCAGGCTGTCCTGCCCGCCGAAGCCGGCAGGCCGTCAGCACGTTGAAGACCGCAATGAGAGGGAAGGGCAGCAGGAAGCCCAGGACGGTGGTGGACAGGGCCACCGCCAGGGCCCATGCGCTGTACGTTTCGAAGGGCGCCATGAAGAGGCACATGGGCTCAAAGCTCTCCACCAGCCGGATGTGGACCACCTCGGGCAGCGGGATGAGGGCCGAGAGGACCCAGACCCCGGCGCACACGGCCCGCCGCCCTCGATGCTGGTGGCGCTGCCAGGAGGGAGAGGCGTTGCTGAGGGTGACGTAGCGGTCGACGCTGAGGCACACGAGGAAGAAGATGCTGCTGTACATGTTGGCAAAATAGAAGTAGTGAGTGAAGCGGCAGGAGAAGCTGCCCCAGAGCCAGGTGTAGTCCAGCGTGACCTCCAGCATCCACACGGGCAGGGACAGGACGATGCCCAGGTCAGCGACGGCCATGTTGAGGACGTAGAGGCGCAGCGGCCCTGCGCGGGCCGCCCCGCGCCGGTTGACGCAGATCACCAGGAGGTTCTCCACCAGCCCGACCACGAAGACAGCCAGGTAGAGCACGAAGAGGGCCACTCGCTTGGCGCTCTCGCTGAGCCCCACGTGGCACTCGGGCAGGGTGTGGTTGAAAAAGCGGAGCAGTTCCGTCCAGTTGTGGATCTCTCCCGCCTCGCTGGCAGGCGCCACGCCGGGCCCCGGGGCCGACATGAGGACCAGTGAGTGACTAGTGGGGAGAAGGGAGGGCTGGAAGAGAGACGAGGCCTTGAAAGCAGCCTGGCGTTCCCAAGGTCGCAGGCCACAGGGGCCAGGAGGCTTCGGGGAAAGATCCTGCGTCTGAAGAGGCAAGAAAGGGAAGTGGAACATTCAAACCGTGAATAAATAGCACACGACTCACTGCCGGCTTTAACCCACGAACAGAAACATTTTGTTAAGGGGTCTCAGTGGTGGGAGAGACCGGAGGCCAAACGCTTTCCCCCCCGGCCCGGCCAGTCCCGCCCTCCTCCAGCCCAGGTGGGCTCAACCTCCACTTCTCTCCTGGCGCTTCACCCTTTGGCCCTTTCACACAGGCCTTCCTTAGGGGCTCTTGCTCTGTCTTGCTATTTGGGCCTTGTGTATGGGACACACATACACAAACACAGACACAGACACACACACTTCCAGTTCGTCCCTGGGAACATCTGTGGATCGTGCAGGAAAGCCAATCGTCTCCAAACTCCACTGCCTTCTTCCCTGAGACAGGGCCACACTCACCTGAGTTTCCCTGCTGGGAGCAGCTCCGGTCCTGGAGGGCCGGCAGGTCTGGACTGCTGTGGAGCTGCGGGGAGGCTAGAGGGACCGTGGCCGTGGGGCTGGCTTCGCTGCGGGCTTCAGGGCCGCCCTTCTCATCCGGGAAGCAGTATCACTGGCTGAGGCTCTGTGGGAGAGGGTCGGGGTTTTTCCTGCCTTCCCCCAATCCAGTTAGAGGGGAAGTCACAGCAAAACATCCAGTGTAGCGGTGACAGGGAGGAGTCAGGCTGCAAGCGTTAAATTCCAGACTCCTGTGGCTGTGTGAATTTACCTCTTTAAGCCTCAGTTCTCTCCTCTGCAAAATGGGACAGCAATAGTATCTACTAATACAGGTGTCTGCGAGAATTAAATGAGCCATCAAAGTGACGTGCTAATGCTTTACGTATGTATGTATTTTCCACCCGATAAATGGGATTGGCATCCCACTCTCCCCTGTCTGTCTTGATACCTACTGAAGCAGAACTGGATGGGAGTGGGAGGGCTAAAATAAGTCTGAAAATTATTCAGATGTAATCACTCTGGCTCTTTTGCTGAATGGCCACCCCTGCCATTCCCCCAGCCTTCACTTTGTGATCTGAGGTGAGAATCTGGAGAGGGAGGTAGACTGAATGTGGGTGGGGAAGGGGCTGTGTTGAGCTTCGGGGAGACTCCTGGATGGGGAGGGGAAGGAGAACAGCATTCTCCCCCCTGCAGCTCATACTGCTCTGGCCAAGTGTGGAGGAGAGAGGGAGGGAGAGAGAAGACAGACAGACACCAGGCTTCTCTCTCCCTCCAAGCCAAGGGGAAGGCTTGGAGCCCCTGGATTTGTGTTGTTGGTGAGCATCGTGTCAGCAGAGCATCCTGCTTCTCAGAGCTCTTTCGCCTCAGTTAGTCATTTGACCCCTGAGGTACCTCTGCGGGGAGGGAGGATGGGCTTCCTTATCCAGAGACGTTGCCTGTCTCACACAAGCCACACAGCAGCAGCAAAAAGAGAGCAGAACCGCCTGGAGCTGGGCCCATGTTTTGTAGGCTGTAGGGCCAGGGGTGTGCTGGCTGGAGGGGATTAAATTTAATCGAGGTGAGATCCCTATGACAATATTAACTATTTTAGAATTTACAGTTCAATGGCATTTAGTATTCACGTTGTTGTGCAACCACCACTTTTATCTAATTCCAAAATATTTTCATCACCCCAAAAGAAAACACCACACCCATTAAGCATGCAGTCTCAAGTCCCCTCTCCCCTCAGCCCCTGGCAGCCAACTGGTAACCACCCTTCTGCTTTCTGTCTCTGTGGATTTACCTATTAAGGGTATTTAATATCAGTCAAATTGTGCGTGTGACCTTTGTGTCTGTTGTTTTTCACTTAGCATAATGTTAAAAAAATTTTTTTATTGAAATATAGTTGATTTACAATGTTGTGTTAGTTTCTGGTGTATAGCAAGGTGATTCACTTATATATATATATATTCTTTTTCATATTCTTTTATAAGATATTGAATATAGTTCCCTATGCTATACAGTAGGACCTTGTTGTTTATTTTATATACAGGGGTTTGTATCTGCTAATCCCAAAATCCTAATTTATCCCTCCCCCACTGCCTTTCCTCTTTGGTAACCATACATTTGTTTTCTATGTCTGTGAGTCTGTTTCTGTTTTGTAAATAAGTTCATTTGTATCATATTTTAGATTCACATGTGATATCATATGGTATTTATCTTTCTCTGTCTGACTTACTTCACTTGGTATGATAATCTCTAGGTCCATCCACGTTGCTGCAAATGGCATTCTTTCTTTCTTTTTTATGGCTGATATATATATATATACACACACGCACATATATATATACCACATCTTCTTTATCCATTCATCTGTCAGTGGACATTTAGGTTGCTTACATGTCTTGGCTATTGTAAATAGTGCCGCTATGAACATTGGGGTGAATTCATCTTTTTGAATTAGAGTTTTATCCAGATATATGCCCAGGAGTGGGATTGGTGGATCATATGGCAACTCTATTTTTAGTTTTTTAAGGAAACTCCATACTGTTTTCCATAGTGGCTGCACCAATTTACATTCCCACCAACAGTGTATGTAGGAGGGTTCCCTTTTCTCTACATCCTCTCCAGCATTTATTATTTGTAGACTTTTTTTTTTAACATCTTTATTGGAGTATAATTGCTTTACAATGGTGTGTTAGTTTCTGCTTTATAACAGAGTGAATCAGTTATACATATACATGTGTTCCCATATCTCTTGCATCTTCCTCCCTCCCACCCTCCCTATCCCACCCCTCTAGGTGGTCAAAAAGCACCAAGCTGATCTCCCTGTGCTATGCGGCTGCTTCCCACTAGCTATCTATTTTACGTTTGGTAGTGTATGTATGTCCACGCCACTCTCTCACTTTGTTTGTAGACTTTTTGATGATGGCCATTCTGACTGGTGTGAGGTGATACCTCATTGCAGTTTTGATTTGCATTTCTCTGATAATTAGCAATGTTGAGCATTTTTCATGTGCCTATTGGCCATCTGTATTTCTTTTTTTTTTTAAGGATTTTTATTTATTTTAAAAAATGTATTTATTTATTTTTGGATGCGTTGGATCTTCGTTGCTCTGCGCGGGCTTTCTCTAGTTGCGGCGAGTGGGGGCTACTCTTCGTTGCGGTGTGAGGGCTTCTCATTGCGGTGGCTTCTCTTGTTGCAGAACAAGGGCTCTAGGGCTCTAGGGCTTGGTAGTTGTGGCTCGCAGGCTCTAGAGTGCAGGCTCAGTAGCCGTGGCACACGGACTTAGTTGCTCCGCGGCATGTGGGATCTTCCCAGACCAGGGCTCGAACCCGTGTACCCTGCCTTGGCAGGCGGATTCTTAACCACTACAGTACCAAGGAAGTCCCTGTCTGTCTTCTTTGGAGAAATGTCTCTTTTGGTCTTCTGCCCATTTATTATTATTATTTATTAGCCGTGCCATGCAGCATGTGGGATCTTAGTTCCCCCACCAGGGATCGAACCCATGCCCCCTGCATTGGAAGCACAGAGTCTTAACCACTGGACCACCAGGGAAGTCCCCTTCTGCCCATTTTTTGATTGGGTTTTTGTTGTTGTTGTTGTTATTGAGTTGTATGAGCTGTTTGTATATTTTGGAAATTAAGCCTTTGTTGGTTGCATCATTTGCAAATATTTTCTCCCATTCCGTAGGTTGTCTTTTCATTTTGTTTATGGTTTCCTTTGCTGTGCAAAAGCTTGTAAGTTTGATTAGGTCCCATTTGTTTATTTTTGCTTTTATTTCTATTGCCTTAAGAGACTGACCTAAGAAAACATTGCTACAATTTATGTCAGAGAATGTTTTGCCTGTGTTCTCTTCTAGGAGTTTTATGGTGTCATGTCTTAGCATTTGTCTTTAAGCCATTTTGAGTTTGTGTGTGTGTGTGTGTGTGTGTGTGTGTGTGGTGTGAGGGAGTGTTCTAACTTCATTGATTTATATCACTTAGCATAACATTTTTGAGGTTCATCTGCGTTGTAGCCTGTATCTGTGCTTCATTCCTTTTTGTGGCTGAGTAATATTCCATTGCATGGATATACCACATTTTGTTTATCCATTCAAGGAGGGGATTTTTTTAAAGTCTGCTAATTGACTTTTTAAAGTGTAGTAAAATAAACATAACATCAAATTTACCATTGTGGCTATTTTAAAGTATACAGTTCAGTAGCATTAAGTGCATTCACATTGTTGAGCAACCATCACCACCAACAATCTCCATGGAAGGGGATATTTTTAATTTTCAGTTTTCTTAAAGCCTCCTCTAGAAAAACTGTTTCTCTACTCATGACACTTCTGCCACCAAATGTGTAGAGTTTTCTCCCCAAAACCAACCAGTTTTCCAACTCTCCAGACGTCAATTGGGTGTTCTGTAATTTAATTCAATTCTGACACCAACCACCTGGAGTTAGTGTCCAACTCCACAGGTTTAAGGGCTCAGTCTCACATGATTTTCCTTACTTTAGATGCAATCAGTGGGTTCCCCTAGGTACCCACACTTCTGTCCAACATGACTGCAAAGACAGGTGTTCCCACAAGCCCCCTCCTGGCAATTTTGATAGTTTGCTTCTGCTTATGTTTTCTGTTTTATTATAAAGGATACAAATGAACAACCAGATAAAGAGGTACATAGGATAAGGTCTGTCCTTGTGGAGTTGGAATGCACCACCCTCCTGGCACTTGGATTCATTCACCACCCCAGAAGTTCTCTGAACCTCATAGTTTTTTTGTTTGTTTGTTTTTGTTTTTTTGCGGTACGCAGGCCTCTCACTGCTGTGGCCTCTCCCGTTGCGGAGCACAGGCTCCGGACGCTCAGGCCCAGCGGCCACGGCCCATGGGCCCAGCCACTCCGCGGCATGTGGGATCATCCCGGACCGGGGCATGAACCCGTGTTCCCCGCATCGGCAGGTGGACCCTCAACCACTGCGCCACCAGGGAAGCCCAGTTTAGGAATTTTAGTGGAGGCTTCATCACATAGGCATGATCAATTATTAAGTTAATCTCCAACCCCATTCTTCTTTCCAGAGGATGGTGGGAGTGCAGCTAAAAGTTCTAAGCTTCTAATCAAGACTTGGTCTTTCTGGTGACCAGCCCCATCCTGAAGCCTTCCTGGAGCCCACCAAGAGTCATTTCATTAGAACAAAAGACATTCCTATCACCCAGGAATTTCCAAGGGGTTTAGGAATTCTGTGTAAGATGCTCCTATCACTTGCACCACTCAGATTACAAGGATTTTAGGAGCTCTGTGTGAGGAACTGGGAGCAGAGACCAAATATTTATTATGCCACACTTCCACTCACACATCAGATCACTCCTAGGTCAAGAAATCTGTCATGATGAGCTGTGACGAAGTAAAATGTGTGTGTGTGTGTGTGTGTGTGTGTGTGTGTGTGTGTGTGTTGTGTGTGTGTGTGTGTGTGTGTGTTTTGCCATGCCTTGCGGCCTGTGGGATCTTAGTTGCCCGACCAGGGATCGAACCCATGCCCCTAGCAGTGAAAGCGCTGAGTCCTAATCACTGGACCACCAAGGAATCCCTAAAATGTGGGTTACTTTGA